TTCCTGTGTTTCTGCAGCCAGCCCCTAGTGGACACTTGAGGAACTGCAGGATTTTACACTTCAGCATCACCTTCACCAGAGGTTGCTGCTTAATTTGAATGCTGCTGGTGGTGCAGGCCAAAATCAACACAAACCAAAGATTCCCTAACAGGAGCTTTCATTTGATTTCACACCACCTTTGTCTTCCTTCACTCCATCTCTACTTTCACCCCATCCATCTTTGTCTCTCCTTTTTATCACATCCTCTTTTCTTCAAGACTTTTCTTGCCTCCCTCTTCTCATAAATGTCTTACACTTTCCTCTAATTCTCTGCCTTTATTTCTCACCTTTTTTTTATCATCTCACAATCCATTTCACTCCCCCAGATAACTCTTCCTGTCTTCATCACCTCCTACATCCTCTAAATCTCGTCTCTTTGTCTCCTCCTCCCACCATCTCCCTGCTTCTGTCTTGATTTCCTGCCCACCACATGGATGCATTCTCTTTTGTAAGAAAAGCAGAAAGGGGGTTTTAAAAAAAGTGTGCTGGAACTCCTCTATATCTTTCATATTTTTTTAATTATGTAAGGTTTTTACTGTGAAGTTGTTTTGGATTGGTGTCTGTGACACATGCCGCATCCCCCCTCAGCTAGCGGGACGCGTTCCAACTCAACGGGCTCCATCACTGAGCTAAGCCGACAGAAAAAGTGGAAAAGGGCAGATAAGGATGCGACGGAAAAAAGAGCAAGACATGGAAAGACGCATTGAGGGAAAAGCAAAAAAGGAAGAATAGAAAGAGGAGAGGGAACATTAGAGATTTAGTTCTACTGTCCCTCTGTGTGATGGAGAGTGAGATGGTTTGCTGTGACAGAGAGTGGCAGGATAAGTCGGTGCTGCTGGTGACTGCATGTGAGTAAAAGATTGACTCTGGGACAGGACGTGACAGTGACAGCCAGAGAGAGAGAGGGAGGGGGGGGAGATAACAGGGCAGGGGTTGTTTGCGAGCAAGTTGACGTCTGCTTTGTGTCTCAGGGAAAACATTCAGCTGTCAGCCGGCCGCGCTCTCACAGTGTCATGTTTTTTGAATTGATGTGACCCCTGCGCCCTTTTCTTCAACACAATGATATTCGATAAAGACAACTCCGGTCCAGACTAATCTGACGACTCCGTGGCTGTGAGCTCTGAGAAAAAATAAATCCATAAATGGGCTTCAGGCATGAGCTGAAGGAAACAGGACAGTCTGCAAACTTTTCAAATAATTTTATTGACTTTGTGACAGGATAACTATCGCAGACGTTGGCAAGTTAGAAAGTAATGTATTTTGTCTTTTTAGTTGTTTTTTGGGCCTTTTTGTTTTGAGGAGAGAGCGGGGGGGGGGGGGGGGGACGACATGCAGCAAAGGGGCCGAGGTCGGATTTGAACCCACTGTGGAGCAGGCAACATTACCCAACATTACCACCGGACCACCAGCTTGGATGACCATGGCCTATGTACATGGGGCGCCTGTTCAACCACTAGGTTACCGTCGCCCCCCAAGGTCCACTTATTTGACTGCAGCTCTTGCTAAGAAATCACCAAACAGTCATGATTGTGATTATAAACCTTCCTGTGTTTTTAAGGGGCCGTATAAACTGCAGGAACTGGACAACAGCTGAGTCACAGATACTTCAGTAATGAGTATGTGTTCCACCCATATGTCCCAGTTACCTCCCCCCAGTAAGGTGGAGCTCCCCATTCTGCAGGGGAAATCACACCCCTGCAATAAAACCACAAAGAAATGCACAACAGAGAAACTCAACCTGCCCACAATCTGCTGCGATTGTAAGATTTGAGTTTTTCTTCTAGTCGTCCACAGAGCAAAGTCGACGCTTCGTTCTGTGTTAGTGGGGCTCTTTGTGCGCTGATACCATCTCCAATCTATCTTCTGTTGAGCTCCACTGTGACTAAAATATCCCTGGACACATTCCAGTATGACATTGCATCATGCGCGAGGCCTTTCACAGACGACTCATCCGGGCTTTTTGGGGAATGTTGCTATTAATATGAACACGTTTTAATGCTTATGCTTTGGCTTCAAGAGAGTGTTTTTTTTTCACTATACCTTGTCCAACACATTTAAAAGAACAGACACACACTAAAAAAAAAGGAATTACACACAAAGATGGCTCCAGAAAGCTCCCACACATGCCAGTAAACACCTCCGTAGAAGCCAGTATCTACACCATGAGAGGAAAATAACTCAGCCTGGAGCAGTGGTGCAGTGTGTGTGTGTGTGTGTGTGTGTGTGTGTGTGTGTGTGTGTGTGTGTGTGTGTGTGTGTGTGTGTGTGTGTGTGTGTGTGTGTGTGCACAAACATACATTCAAGCTTCCTGTTGTGTTGATATCAGACCAGTTGACAGGAGTGGGATGATAACACTGCGCTTGCTGTGCTGCAGGCAGGCTGAACACCAAGCCTCCAGAGAAGAATGAGCAACAGAAACATCACCTCCACTGCACATAGTGCTCATTTGATTAAACATCTCCTCACCTTGGAGGCAGCCATCACTACAGGTAGTGGTTAACATGCAGGCCAAACGTTTTCCTCCTAATCCAATCCTCAATCACACCTCCCCCCACCCCTTCTGCTGAGCTCACTGCTGCTATTCCCCCTATTGTCACTTCTCTGGCAGAGAGGATGAGAGAGGAACAGGGATTCTCACAGGGACGCTGTTTGCTCTATACTGTGAGTTTGGACAAGACCAAACATCTAAGCAATTTTTTCCAGTTTCCTGTCTGCAAATCCCACTTGGTCTCTCACCAGGGATTTGCACAGATTCCATACTCGACAGCATACTCTTCTCCAAAAAGAGATCGTCGTTTGAAGCCAGCACGGATAAAGACAACAGGACGTATACAGAGAAAAGGAAAGAACGTCTGCATCAGTACATTTTGAAGTTACATTTATGTTGGTGTTTAATGAAGCAGAGATGGGAAATATTCAACATCAGGAGAGATTTTTGTCTTTTTCCCGACAGTTTTGATAATTTAAATGTCCAATCAGTGAGATGTGTAGAGAGTGAGATGATAAAGGTATCTCACTATCTGATCATTAAGGAAACATGCTATGTTGAAGTGCTGGCTTCTCTGACAACAATGCAGCAGCCAGTATGTCCTCCTTCTAACTTTAGATTCTGCTCCTGAATGCTCTGGATTTGTTTGGACCAGAGAAGGTAGACGGTTTAAAGACACTCCCCCCCCCCTAACGGCCGTTTTGGACGCCCCTCGGTTTGCCAGATATGAGAGCAGTTATCAGGTCAACAGGTGGAAGCGGGCGAGAGAAGTGGTTCAGATAGAAGTGATTGTACCCGACCTAAAAAGCCTCTAACGTTTAAAAAAATCACCCGACCTTTACAGGCTGCAGCATAAAAACGATTACATGGAATGGGCAGTTTGCAGATTAACAACTTTGACTTCTTGTTCGTGCTTTCACTAATACTTTAGGAGCTGCACACACAGGGGATTGGTGATTTAACAGGTATGACTGGAGCAGATAAGACAGGTGCTGTGATAGGAATTTGACTATTGAACAATAAATCATGAAGAATGATGTCATTTAATGTTCTTCTTTTATTGGCTTTGTTTGTTAATCGTGAGTAACCATGGCAGCAGCAGCTTTTATCAGCTGAAAAAGAAAACATGCCTCTTTGTGTGAAAATGAGCTCTAGTAGAAAAAAACACAATAACACATAATGCAGAAATCAATGCCTGCAGTGACTCAACCGCTGACTGTGAGCTCTCAGTGTTCTGACTGAAGGATTGCAGCGATAAGAAACGGAAAATGTGGAGGGACGTCATAACAGTTTGAACTCTGCATTCAAATAAAGACGTGGCTGCTTGATTGGACAACTTTAGATGAACAATTGAGCCTTTGTCGGCTCTCTGATTGGTCCGCTGACAGCTCTCTGTCATAACGACTGTTGCTGGGCTACTTCCTGTTAACCAAGTCTTTTAAAAAGAAAAAGTATGAAGTTTCTCCCTCTTCCTGTTCTTTGTGCTAAGACTACTGTTAGGAGCCTCAGGAGAACTACAAGATCTCAGGAGAACTACAAGACCTCAGGAGAACTACAAGATCTCAGGAGAACTACAAGATCTCAGGAGAACTACAAGATCTCAAGAGAACTACAAGATCACAGAAGAACTACAAGATCTCAGGAGAACTACAAGACCTCAGGAGAACTACAAGATCTCAGGAGAACTACAAGACCTCAGGAGAACTACAAGATCTCAGGAGAACTACAAGACCTCAGGAGAACTACAAGATCTCAGGAGAACTACAAGACCTCAGGAGAACTACAAGATCACAGGAGAACTACAAGATCTCAGGAGAACCACAAGATCTCAGGAGAACTTCAAGATCACAGGAGAACTTCAAGATCTCAGGAGAACTACAAGATCTCAGGAGAACTACAAGACCTCAGGAGAACTACAAGACCTCAGGAGAACTACAAGATCTCAGGAGAACTACAAGACCTCAGGAGAACTACAAGATCACAGGAGAACTACAAGATCACAGGAGAACCACAAGATCTCAGGAGAACTTCAAGATCACAGGAGAACTACAAGATCTCAGGAGAACTACAAGATCTCAGGAGAACTTCAAGATCACAGGAGAACTACAAGATCTCAGGAGAACTACAAGATCTCAGGAGAACTACAAGATCACAGGAGAACTACAAGATCTCAGGAGAACCACAAGATCTCAGGAGAACTTCAAGATCACAGGAGAACTACAAGATCTCAGGAGAACTTCAAGATCTCAGGAGAACTACAAGATCTCAGGAGAACTTCAAGCTCTCAGGAGAACTACAAGATCTCAAGAGAACTACAAGATCTCAGGAGAACTTCAAGATCTCAGGAGAACTACAAGATCACACGGGCTGTACGTTTCCTTGTCTGACTTCCTGTCCAGATATATTCTGTTCAGCCTGATGCATGCTTGCAGCGTACTCCGTCATGAGTAAACTTGGTGAATATTTTAAACGTAGCAGAGCGGAGTGATGCTGCTGGCACTGTGATGTGGAAACAGGAGCATTGAGGGTGGCAGTAGTGCACAGTGCTGATGGACCGCGGCTCACATGGACTTTGTGGATGTGCGGGTAAGCCTCGGCAAAATTGGAAAAGAGACAAACTTCCTAAAAAGATCAACAATTCCTTTATTGATGTTGCCCGGGTTCTCTGATCTAACGTCTTCACTCTTCCTCTGTCTTTATGATTGTCTCTCTTCTCTATTTTCTCACACCGTCCGGAGGGGATGTTTTGTTATCATTCCAGCCAGCTGGATCCCTGTGGACAACCAAAGACAGATGGGAGTAAAAAGATAATATTATCACAGAGAATGTATTTCCCTTCTCACAGCGTTCACCTCGATGTCGCAGCGTGACAGCAGGAAGTAGCCTAAATTTAGCCTAGCACAGTGAGCGAAATATGAAGCATGTCATGAAAAATGTCAGGCTGACGGGCCCTGCCCACTGGGATCAAACACTTTCTTTATTTAATTAGGAATGATTGATTTAAAGTAGGAAGATAGATAGCAGAATTAAATAAAGTGTGCCTTGATGCAGTGTGTGAGTACCGCTGTAGATGCCAGGTAACAAGTTAGCAGTAGCTGTAAGAGCGAAGTGTACGTGCAAGACTTTGAACCATGTTTTCCTTTTTTTGTCTGCTGAAAAACAGGCTTTTTAGAATGGGTGTGTATGTGACTTCCTGTGTTTCTGCAGCGAGCCTCTAGTGGACACTCGCGGAACTGCAGGATTTTACACTTCTGCATCGGCTTCATTTTTCAACACCGGAGGTTACCACTTGGAGGTTAAAAGCATGTGGTACTTACCTCCTCAGATGTCTTGACAACTTCAGTAAAACTCGTTGTGCAACAGTACGAGCTTTGCACAAATATGGACATTTATGTTTTCGTCTACAGAGATTTTTAAAAGGAAACTGTCTTCACATTTAATCCACGAGGTCAAACTTTTCCCCCCATCAACTCACTCATTCACTCCCTTTTTAATAGATTAATGTCTGTTTCATTTAGCTGATAGAGGGTTAAATCTTGAGTCTTTCTACTGTATGTATGTGTCTGTGGGGGGGGGTCTCTGATGTTGTTTTTGGGAGTGAGCTCCAGAGAGTTGAAACGACAATGTCTTCCAGTGATAGCATTTGCGATTTTTCACACTTAAATGTAGAAATCAAGTATATCCTCTGAAGTGTGTGTGTGTATGAATACGTGTATAGGTTACTGTATATGTGTTCATATTTAGTTTTGAAATTTTGTAATTGGATTTGCTTAGTTGATTTATTTGTCTCTTAAGAGGTGAGGCCTGTTGGCTTCTTGATCTCTCCTGACACACCTTTTATGTTTTTGTTAATCCTATTTTCATGTATTCTTATATGTGTGCTAAAAATAAAACAAAATAAAAATAAAATGTCAAAGTCTCACAGTGGTGGATTTAAGACCTCACTGAGTTGCTCAAATAATTTAAAGCATGTTGCTTCACTGACGTCTGACGTCTGACGTATGAGGAACAGGGATCTTGAAAATTAAATTAAAAAAGCCTTTTGATGAATTAAAAAACAGCCCAGTTTCAAACATGGTTGCAGATGAAGCTTTGAAAGACTGGACTAGTTTGAGGACAATTGCCCGAGGGGTCTATTCTCTCTGCCAGATTCATAATTTGCAGCACAGGAGAAATCCCCTTATTTCAGTTTTATTTCCCTTCTCCTTCCTTCCTTCTTCCTTCCTCTCATTCTTGCCTCAAGGATGTGAGATCAAATGTCTTTATTTTGATAACGCTGGAGAAACGTGGCTTAGCGGGGCGTCTTGAGCTGCAGTGATCTGCTGTCACATTTGGACAGTGCCGTGTCTTTATTTGAAGAGAATCCAGATCAAGGGCGTAGTGTTCTGCCACCAGCTAAATATAGCCAGAGAATGTCAGAGAAAGCCTGTTTTTGTGTGTTATATGTGGCACTGGGCTAATGGCTTATTGCAGCTAAGCTCACTGGGAGGAGTTTTTTCTTCTCTTTTTTTAAGCGGATATCGGGAGACACTGGCCTGCGTTTGTGTTTCTAGACCTCACCTCAGGCACAATCATTATATCCTGAACAAGAGGGAGGTTTTAAAAAAGGATAACGTCTCCTCTGCCAAATCAGTCTGTGTGCCTGACAATCCATACCACTTGTCAAACCACCGCCTCACATCTGTTAGGCACTGAACTGGTTTTGTGTCGTGTTTACATATGAGGAGATTCTTTGAGATTCTACATCGGCACACGCCCGAGATGAATTTGTAATTTGTAAGCAAATGTATTCACAATACCCAAATCAGTTCATGCCATCATTAAAGGGCAGTCGTTTCACACACTCTCCTCCGTTCTGTCCATCTCTCCAATCCAGCCACAACACAGAAACACTTTTCCCCCCCGACTTCATTCAACTTGCACCAGCGCAGCCTCTTCATTTTTAAGTCAATTCTCCTTTAAAGATCTATCCCTTCCTTTATTAATTTTATTGATTTTAACCTTTTTATCTTTCTCTTCTTTAAATGTATCCCTTCCTGTATTCATTTTACTGCTCTTAGTCTTTTTTAAATTCCTGCTCCTTTTATGGTTTAAGTCTTCAGCTCTCTGTTTCTTTATTCATTTAACCAATGTCCCGTTTATTCTTTTTTATCTTCATTCTGTGTTCACAGCCTGTGATGTGATGTCGTCACACTCTCCCTCAATTTGAATTTTGTTCTCTCCTGATTGATTTTAAACAAATTTTCACTGTACTGAACTGCCTCTTCATACCTGCCTGTTGGATCTTATTTCTGTTATTTCCATTTTTACAATTTGGCCCTCACTGTTGATCTCTGTTCTGTTGTCGTGTTGCTGTATTTTTCTGTCAGGGCACTTTGTAAACATTTGTTTTTAAAGGTGCTATAAAAATAAAGTTACTATTCTTCTTATTATTATTATTTAGACTCAATTTGTTGTGTACTGTCGCCTCAAAACGCCCAGCAGCAAGCGTCCATCAAGCATGATCCCAACAGGTGAGCGGGACGCTTCTTTATGGCGGCACGAGAACATTAGTTTGCATGTACAGGGGTTGGTTTCCTCGGAGCGGGGCGACCCCGGGTTCAAGTCCTACCTGTGGCTCCTTTCCTGCATTATGACGATCATGATCATGATCATTTATTCACTTGTTTCTATTTCTTTTTCTGCTCTTACCTTCTTTTTGCTGTTCTCTTTTGATTTGCTTTTATCTCTTTTAGTTTCTTACATCTTTTTAAATCTTTGCTCCTCTTGGTCTCAGATCGTGTTGTTGGGTTCTTGTGTTTCCTGGGTTCTTATGATGGTTCTTATGATGGTTCTTATGATGGTTCTTGTGATGGTTCTTGTGATGGTTCTTATGATGGTTCTTGTGTTTCCTGGGTTCTTATGATGGTTCTTATGATGGTTCTTGTGATGGTTCTTGTGATGGTTCTTGTGATGGTTCTTATGATGGTTCTTATGATGGTTCTTATGATGGTTCTTATGATGGTTCTTGTGATGGTTCTTATGATGGTTCTTATAATGGTTCTTGTGATGGTCTGGTTCTATATGTCTGTTGGGTATCGTGCACTTTGGGTTCTTTTCTGTTGAATTGTATTTAATTATTTTTAGTATTTTACATTTGTCATGTTCTTGTTGTTGTTTATGTTCTTCTGTGTTTGGTTTAGTTTGTTCTTGTTTTTGCTGTTTGTCAAAGCACTTTGTAAACCTGTGTTTTTAAAAGGTGCTATATGAATAAAGTTATTATTATTATTCCTCTCTCTCTATTTCAAACTCTATCAAGTGTATCTCCAATAAAAGGCACAAAAAGCCTCAAAATACATCTAAAAAATAAGATGAAGTACTTTTGCTTTAAGCTGCATTGTGAGCTGTACTTTTGCCCGAGTAAAGATTTACCTTCTTCTGCTCCACCTTCTCCACAATGCTCCTTCAGCTGGGTGCATATTGTTGTGTGTATGTTGGGTGCTGATGAAATTTTGAGGGCAAGCAGTAAATAATTAAAGAGGCAGGGTTATGAAAGCAGCTTCTTGGCGGGATGCTAGCGGGTATGAATCGATCGTACCCCCCTCCCTGATACCACCAACAGCGAGCGAGCGCCTCCCTCTTTATTTCTCTCTCCCTGAATCCACACACCCTGCTGAACAGACGTCCAGACACATGGCCACGGGACACGGCTGACCGGACAGCCAGATGCACGGTGCATGTGTGTGTAAACGATGAAATACAGTACATGAGAAAAAGGCCAGGATGGGGTTTGTGTGTCCGTGTGAGTGAGATGGATAAAAGGGCATAATTCAGACTGACCACATCCACGGGAGCAGATGGCTAACTGATGGTCTGCTAAGTCCATTCTTCTTCTGGTTCTGGCCTGGGGGGGGGGGGGGGGTCTCAAGTCTGAGTCAAAAGGGTAAGAAGAGAGAGAGGATGCCATGCACTGACGCAGCGATAGCATGCAGGAAGCTACATTTCTGCACTATGCAACAGATTCACTCAATTTCATCCAACACAGATTTGATTTCATGGACTTGATGTGTGCAGTGTCAATGCTTCAAGGCTTTTTAAAAAAAAAACTGAACACCATCTCCCAGCACTCACTCTACATCCATTTCTCTCTCCATTTGCCTCTCCTCTTCCTCTCCTCTCCTCTCTCTATGTGTGCCCCCTCCACTGAACCATTAAATCAGCCTCTCTTTTCTCATCTGTGTATTGGGAGTCTGTGTTTGGCCAACGCTGTTGTTCTCTTTCTGGCCAATGATTTCCTGCCTTAAGAACAAGCAAGTCGGGACCAAACAAAAAACCCACCCTCAGGGAGCTTAGATTTCACAGCAACCATCAAAAAAAATAAAAATTAAATAAAAAAGGACGGGTTGCAACCTTGCGGGGAGCTTAACATTCAGGCCAGTGGGGGAATCAAAAAGGATGACACACACACACACATGATACCTCAGTTTGTCTTTGCAATGACAAAGAGTGATGCACAAACAAACCAAATGGAAAACAAGATGAGATGACTGCATCCTCCTCTCAAGACGTTTGCCTATACAAATGTTTCCGTCTTTGTTTTGTTAGAGAGCATGAGTCAAACAAGCCCATGATTACAAAGATACATTATAGGATAAAACAGGATGGAAGCAAACTTCAAAAACTTTAACAGCAGGCGACGTAGTAGAGGTGAGTTTTTATGGATTTTTTTGAAGGTGGAGTGTGAAGGGGGGGGGGGGGGGTCTCTGATGTTGTTTTTGGGAGTGAGCTCCAGAG